ATATTAGCAGTGTGAGAGAGAATTAAAAAAATATGAAATGGCTCCTGCCAACTAAGTTCAAGTAGGCCTTAGACTAGCAATAATTTAGCTTTGATTGTTTGTCGACTCCATAGTCTCCATTGTTACGGGTTCAAGCAAGCCTTTCATCCTTAAGAGAAGGGGAGGAGGTTGCTAGATTTTGCTTGAGAATGTCCTCAGCGCGTTCAATCAGGATCCTAAGAAAGAGAAATAAATATTAAATGATAATATTTGTAAGGTAAATACCATTAATTTTGCCTCTTGACCATACAAACATAGAATGTAATAAAATTTAACAAACGTAATTTATTGAAAATTATAAATCCTCCAGATCCAGACCGCCATTTTCAAGAGATGTTGCCAACTGTGCAAAGCGTGTAATATTTAAGTATCGTTAATTCGTTTCGTAATTTTTCTGCGTATAGTTGAATAGTTAGTTTTTTGTCGCTGAATGTGTTTTAAAATGAGAAAATTTTAATCTGGACTTCATGAATTACTTAGATTTTCATTTTGAATGTATGACACCAGCACAATTTTCGACAGAACATATTATTAAATTGATGATCGATTAAGACAAAATCAGGAATTTCGCGTGAAAAAATGTTATAATTTCATGTCAGTAAATGCAAGTCTACGGTTTATGTCACTAGCATTTACTTCTATTCTTTAATGCAATATTGTTCTCAAACTGAAATTAGTCTACGGATAATTCCCGATACTTTATATTACGATCTTATGCACTTAACGAAATATAATTTTTTGGCGCTAAAGAAGCCTGGTGTAGTCTCCTTCTCCTGACACTTAAGGAAGGACTCTAAATTTCAGATACTATAGACCTTCTGTAGTGAACTAACCTAACTGTAGAGAAAAATTTAGCAGATATTTGTATAATGGAAAATATTTGTATAATGCATTTTGTATAATGGAATTTGTATAATGGAAAATCAAAGTCATATTGGCCATGAATTTATTCTCCGTTAGATGACATAGCAAGTTTACTCACAACGTCATCACAGTTAAGTAACAGAGTGACAATAATAAAATCCATCGGGGGAAACTCGGAAATTTCATTTATGAACGACATGAGCACCGTTATCACATCACATAACGAGGAGGTAGAGCAGGGCCAAAGACATCTCCCCCGTCAGACAGACGAGTGCACTTTTATCGCATATACATTCCGAGTCAATTATTATAAATATAACACAAAAAATTCATGATTCCAAATCGCATGAAAGCCTGAGTTAGTCATGGGGTTAGCTCATTTTTTTCTTGGCCCTTTTTATTATTAGAATGTTAGTAGTTTGTTGTTGCCAGAACATTCCTTGAACCTTTGCAAGACAAGTTTAGATTTGAACTATAAAAATGCAAAAATGAAGCAATTGGAATGTTTGAACAAATGCATTCAGAAATATCGTACGTTAAATAATGACGTGCTGTTCCTGCACAGCGATATCATACCAACACGAAAGGAATGTAAAACTATTCAAAACGTATACAGTACTGAGATAAACTTTTTGAAACCGACAGTCAAAATCTGGTCTAAATTAAAATAAGACAAATATCAAACACAATCGTGTAAATTAGTTGAGTATTAACTTTAATTTAAATTTTAATGCCTGCCTAGGCCCACGCACCTAACCTTGTACAAAGGCAGCAACCGGCAACCGCTCCACAGATACAGCGAGTGAGAATTATTCTGCCTTGCTGAGCAGCTCAACCGAAATAAAATTATAAAATAATTAAATGCAAATGTAATTATTCGAGCATAATATCTTAGAGCTCAACGCCAAATGAAACTATTTCGACAAGACTTGGCAACTCAACCCAATTCAACATTCCGTACAACACTTGCGACAATCAACCCCCACAACAGCCCTCAGGTTATCTCTCATTGACAGCTCGGACAGGAAACATTCCAAACACGCATAATGCAGGGCATGTAAGCATAATAGTAAAATAACACACACAGCGACAGCAAACAATAAAGTCTTACAAGTTTAAGCCTTGGCTTCAGCTATAGTCAGGTGTCAGCGCCGCACACCATGTCGAACACAAAGACATTGAAACGAGAAGAAACACCTAATCGGAAAATCTGAACGCGACAACATACTCTGATGACAATATCTGCGAGAATCATCACAACAGGAAAATGGAAGCTTCAGAATAAAACACATCATTTATAAGATATGAGCATGAAGTTACAAATCGAGTATCAATAAGCTTTCCAAAGTCAGAGGTAAAAACCTTTATGCGCCCGACTTTCCGATTTTTTCGAAAAGGTTGTTTCGTCTGAGCGCCATCAAGACTGAGTTTCATGTATTGTGGATGCCAATGTACTATATTTGATCAAAGAATATAAAAAACAGACAGCCAGCTAGAAGGATATGAGTGACCAATGAGACAATCAGCCTTACAAAACGAAACGGTCACACCAGTCTAAGGTACGCACACAGTGAAAGCAGGTTTGCCCGCGCGGGCAACCTGCTCCAACCTGCCACAAGAATGAACATAGGATAATAATGTAAGTGTTCACAGTGAAAACCTGTACGAATTTGCTTCTGTATTCTATGGTTTCAGGCGCCAGCCTGAGCAGGTAACCAGCACGCTGGCAACCTGCTTTCACTGTGTGCGTACCCTAAGGGAAAATGCTGCCGCCGGTAACCTATCAACCGAATACAAGCCCGCGACCGTCTGGCAGACTTTTGCTCTTAACAGTGGGGCTGACTGCCATTCATTAAGATACGGGATACGGTAATGATTAACAAGACAGGCCAGCAGATACGTAGCTCAGCTCGTGCACGTAAGCAGCGCCTGGATACGTGCAGTGAAAGAAGGAATAACTCACTGTTAATAAACGGCACTGAAATTATCGGCGCGCATTTAGCAGTCTTCAAGCGACAGGTAATCACAAGTAAAGACGGTATACAGAACATAGCTTCGACTTAAATTTATAGTGGCTATATTCAAGCACATTACCTTTATCTCAGGAAATAAATTCACTTAGGAAATTCAAGATTGAATCCGAAGAACTTAAAACTCATTACCCAAAACGAGTGGGGGTTCAAATTATTAATTGGCGTCTGTGCTAGTTAACATACCTAGGAGATGCCACACCCGACGCTACATCAGCGTCACGCAGCTCAAGGTGCTGCAACTGCTCAGTCAGTTTCCCCATACAACTGATTATCTTAGGCGCTTCCAGACTCTTATCTTGGGCGCTTCCAGACTCTTATCTTAGGCGCTTCCAGACTCTTATCTTAGGCGCTTCCAGACTCTTATCTTAGGCGCTTCCAGACTCTTATCTTAGGCGCTTCCAGACTCTTTATCTTAGGCGCTTCCAGACTCTTATTTTAGGCGATTCCAGACTCTTACTCGTGGACATACAAGGCTTGTCCGCCTCAAACATCTTTTATACAACAATTTATAGCAACGAATGTGAGAGGAACTAAACCTGTATGGATTGATTGATCCACGCAAGTAAAACAAGCCTTCTCAAATTCACAAAGGAATCAAATTTTGTAGTACTGTATAGCATTATTAACTACATGAGAATGGTGCAATTTGTTATGTAATCTGGAGCACAAACTGCGGTCACTAGGCGCTGTTAAATGTGCAGTGCCTCGACAAGTTCTCGTTATACATACGCGTTTTAGTGCGCACTCAATTTCTAAGTCAATGAATTTTAGTGAAATGATAATAGTAACGAGTACTCCGCGATACGTTTGCCTCGAAAAATAACTTACATCGCTAAATAGAGAGACGCCTTGTTGGAAATGAAGACTACAGTGAAAATGTTATAAACCGATACACATTTTTTAACAGCGAGGAGACATGATTAAGCTTAGTTTTATGAATGGGAACCAACGAAACATGAGCACGAACAAGAGAGAAACACTTAATATGCCTCATGAAAAATCATAAATAATTTATCCGACAATTGAGGTTAATACAGAGAGAAGTTGGTTTGCGGACTGAACATCTTAGGTGCAAAGAAGCACTTCCATCCATTCCAATAGCGTTACCGTCTTAAGTCTCCATAGCGTTACCGTCTGAAGAGTCTACATAGCGTTACTGTCTCAAGTCTCCATAGCGTTACCGTCTGAAGAGTCTACATAGCGTTACCGTCTCAAGTCTCCATAGCGTTACCGTCTGAAGAGTCTCCACAGCGTTACCGTCTGAAGTCTCGATGGCGTTACCGTCTGAAGTCTCCACAGCGTTACCGTCTGAAGTCTCCATAGCGTTACCGTCTCAAGTCTCCACAGCGTTACCGTCTGAAGTCTCGATGGCGTTACCGTCTGAAGTCTCCACAGCGGTACCGTCTGAAGTCTCGATGGCGTTACCGTCTGAAGTCTCCACAGCGGTACCGTCTGAAGTCTCGATGGCGTTACCGTCTGAAGTCTCCACAGCGTTACCGTCTGAAGTCTCCATAGCGTTACCGTCTCAAGTCTCCACAGCGTTACCGTCTGAAGTCTCGATGGCGTTACCGTCTGAAGTCTCCACAGCGGTACCGTCTGAAGTCTCCATAGCGTTACCGTCTCAAGTCTCCATAGCGTTACCGTCTGAAGTCTCCACAGCGGTACCGTCTGAAGTCTCCATAGCGTTACCGTCTCAAGTCTCCATAGCGTTACCGTTTCAAGTCTCGACAGCATCAGTGACGAAACAAGAGGTATTTACAACAGACCTCTGGTATACACACTCTGGAATATCGACCTTACATTAAATGCTCTACAGAAGATATTTACACGCATGTCTTTGGCGGCACAGTCTTCAACAGACTATTGAGTTGAGACTCGTATATAGATTATCATGTTTTATTCATACGAATAAGTAACTGCGTTGAAATTTGAATGCGTATGGAATTAGGTGATACCATATGTCAGGGCCTATACTTTCAAAAAAAGGTAAGAGATCGTAAGTTTATTAGCCAATCATTGACGGCCTATCGAGCAAAATCCACCAATCATAGACAAGAAAATAAGTCATAAGTACTTACGTTCACTTAGCGAGTTTTGAAAGTATGGCCCCAGGTTCGGATAAGGTTTAAGAATACGCCTCCGAAGGCTCCGATTGTCCGGCTCCCAAAGAAAATTTCGTGGGTTTATCTTCTCGTACATAGATAAGAATTAACTTAGGAACGAAGATATCCGAAATGCAGCGACACCAAATGAACACGGTAACAGGCAAAGGCTTTAGAATCAAGTTGATAACAGTATAGCCAGGGGAAAATGTCGATATTTTACATGAAAATTGTCTAGCATCATTGCAGAAGATAACTCCATACGAGATGACGCCTACAATACAAATTCATGTAACAGACTTATAATTCTTAGAACCTCACACATATATGTTAAATTTCAAAACTTTACAAAAATTTGTTCCATGTCCGTACAGCGACATGAACGTTTAGTATTAGCATAAATTAGTTGGATTCGATGTTAAGAAAAAGTGATAACAGCCTCTCAAAAATTATATATCTGGTTTGATCTTTAGCATATAACCTAAACACGTCGCGTTTGAGTCAATGAGTTATCGTTCAATAAGTTAGTTTAGTGAAAATAGAAGCTCATATGAAATTCGTAAGTGAAGACAAACATCAATAGCCAGTAGCCGCAGTACTGCCCGGCGTAGGAGGAAGCTAGAACATCGAATTTAGTTCCAATCAAACTCTCGCTCACCGACCACGACTGCAAGCCATTAAGAAGACGACGACATCAGCGCAGATAGAGAATTTAAATTTCTCCCAACGTTTAGTTATGATTTATTAACGACGATGTGGAATGGGAACAATTTCTTCTTTCGCGGGACGTAATTAATAGAACACAGCAAGACTTAAAGGCTGTGACTGAATATGATAATTCAATCTTTATACAGGGTTGAAGAATATATTTTTGCCGCAATAATTGTCTCTCGTTCAGAAACGGAAAGTTAATCCTGACATCAACAACAGGAAGATTTCTCGAGTTTCTGAAAAGGTCAGCAAACTCGTGCAGCCACTACAACAGCAGAAGATGCTATATTGCAGATCAAAATTCAAATTTATTTACACAATAAATCTATTAAGAAGCACTAGACAGAGTTTCTCACTTGAGAAGCTCGATTAAAACGGTGGCGAAAAGAAATGACTTACTTGCTCACTTCTCTAGTCTGCGTTATGTTATACAAGCTCTTGAGCAATACAGCAACCGTTCCCATCGTTGGTGTGAACTATTAACTATTGAAACTAAAAAACCATTAATAATTTACCGCGATCAGTTTGGCTCAGACACTAAGATCATTATTGACAACTATTTTTTTAGTGACCACAAAATAATGTCCGTATAACTATTGAAACTAAAGATCCATTAATAATTTACCGCGATCAGCTTGGTTCAGACACTAACATCCTGCGCACAATGCGTGTATCTCACAATAAGAAACTCAGCACAAAATATCAGCTTTATAAGTATTGTCATTAGGCGACGCTTTCGACGTCCCTTCGTCAGCGTGGTGTGGGGGCTCGCTTGGAGCTACAGAGACTAGCCTAAGAAATTATACTGAGATACAACATCACTGGAGGTGTGGCGTCCATCACTCTTTGCCCAATGACGTGACACATCATCACTGCAGGTTATTTTAGCACCACCACAGCCATGGCAAGTCAACCAATTTAGGACAAGAGTGGCGGCAAATGAAGACAGTGCCTCTGTAACAGCACCACCACAAGACAGCAGTAAAGAACGTTCGGTTACTCATCATCATTCACGCAAAGAACATCATTACACTTAATTACATTAATCAAGAATTATTCGTTACGCAACCATCACAAGAAGGGTGATGAATACCACCCCACACGGACACCGCTCACGAATGGTACATCACTAAACGAACGCGCATCACGCATGGGTGGTGGGCAGCGCTCTTCACGCTAACTCCTCTGCTTTCATCCTTTATCACTCAAGACTGCCATCGCTATTTCCACTATCTTGAAGCAGCCACCAATCAACCAACTTAAATTTGCTTTCAAACACCATCAGTCCACTACCGATAAGCGTCAACCAAACACCACCAATCCACCATATTTTTTTTTATAGTTGGGGTTAAGACTTGTGGCGACAAATGCGCCCACCAGCCTGTTCTCTGTCAGAAAATCCACCATATTGAAGCAACTTTCGACCGCCATCAATCCCCTTGACGAAGCCACGATATTTCTAAACATGTCCATCACTACTCAGCTCTCGCATCGCCAGTAAAGCTACCAGTCCCTCGCACCCGACACGCTGATTCTCTGCTACCGTCTCATGAGAATCAGGCACAATAATAAACGTAACTTTACACGAAGATCCGAAGACGATAGCAAAAAATGGAGGTCTTAAAACTATGTAAAGACACTCAGACACATGGAATCATAGAGCAAAGAATCCTCTTTATACAAACTAGTGAGATTATTGCACATTGGCACATAGAAAGCTCTGCAGCTTAGATCTTAAGTGACATCGACACGCCTCGCAGGGGAAGAGCAAATGGCAGTAGCACACGAGACTTAACATCAGAAACTTGCTGCGAAATAAATCTTAGAGGCAAACGTTCAGCAAGGACGATATGAAATGAGTTATAAGTAGACAACCCTCAATAATGTTCAGTATTTTATGTAAGTTACTAAGATCCAAATTAAACGGGGCACAATACAACAAGATATAAAGATATGGCGAATTTTACGTACATTTTCTTAGCTGTTCTTCAGTCGAATTTAGATTCAAGCAATCAGTGATCCTAATCCTCATTCAAGAAATACAATGAGTCTTTCTAAGTAGTTATGAGTGAACAATAGATCATTGATTACGATTGAGAGTTCGCCACAAGCAATTAGTAAGGTGTCTTGAAGTCTAGAATAAAGTATTGACAATTAGTACTACGGTTATCTGTCGAAACTACTACGGTCGGATAATTAGTACTACGGTTATCTGTAACAGAAACTTTGGTCGAAACAATTACTACGACTCCTCCTTATTATGCACTTAAGGGCGCAAAATGTTAACTTAGAGTAAATAAAAGTCTCTCAAGAAAGTCATGTTAGTAGAAGGCAGAAGATGAGATTCCTCGCTTTAGACTTGAAATAGATTATTGATAAATATTAGAGTGAATTTGAGGTATTCTGCAAGGCAGAATTAGGTCATGGCTGAAATGTAGGTGATGAATCTCGTTCTGTTGTCTTAAGAAATACGCACTTATATAAGCTTCAAGAATAATTTTTTGAGCATAACTTCAATAACTAATGCGAATCAAAGACCCAGAAAGTATTTGAAATAATTCGATGGAGTAACTAAGCAAATAATTGGTCTAAATGAAAACGAATACAATAGAAAAGATAGAACATATAGAGGCAAAGGAACATCGCCAATATCTTACCATAACGAAGAGCCTTACAAATAAGATACAAATGCTGGCAGGAATGGAAGAGGGAAAGAAGATCAAACGTTGTGTAAGAGATTCTAGTTTGTTAAGAGTTTTCTCCTTAATAAGAACATAGTTAAATGAGCTCTCCATCTCGCAGTTAGACTTAAAAAAAAGAATCACACTTAAACTAAGTTTGTTAAAGCTGCAGTTTATATGGAAGTACATTTGGAAGAAAGTGTTGCCTCCAAGATAAGAGAACTTTTTTATATTAAGCTGTTCATAAAATATAGTAGGTAATGTATTAAATTATCATGCATAAAATTAAGTATCTAGGCTCACGCATACGATGCTGAAAGCGGGTGAGGGTGCAAATTTGTGTCTTTAATTGGATAATGCGGACAATGAGAGCAAACAGCGGTGTTCAGAAAATATTCAGACATCATTTAAAAATATACACGGCAGATAATTTCCTGGCAAAACGGCGACTCAGTTTATTCAGAAATAAGTTGGTGAACAGTTCAAATAGAGACAAAGTGAATGCAAAAAAAGAGTGCACAACCGCAAAAAAAACTTTAACACCACTGCAAAAAAAAACTTTAATTACAACTTAGACGTTAGATTCATTCTACGTGAACTTAATCTGATAAGCCAAAGCTCCAACACGGCACCAATAACATAATAAAGATCATTTCAAACTTACAGCCCAATAAGCTTAATTATTCGTAATTAAACTAATTTAGAACATATGCCCACAACAGGGAAGCTATGAGCATAGTAAATATCATACAAAGACTAGAAGACCTGAAGACATTCAAAAGCAAACACAAAAACTGACACTAGAAAAAATCTTTGCGTTTAATCCATGCAATAAAATGAGAAGCCCCTAAACGCCTCGTTCGTAAGGTTCATAAAAGTAATATCATGTCATTATTCTCGCCATAATACTTTCTGTATACATTCAATTACTTAACAGTTAATAAGCATGGGAAAAAAAGCATCAAATCCCTGCAGGCAACGGATTTCAAACCAAAATTTATATTATTGAGACAGCGACCGAGTTCAATGTTCAGATCAGTCCGGCGAGATGGAACCCACAGGCATAGTAGCACAGTACAAATTGTTCAACTAACTCATAATTAAATCGAATTTGATTTTAGCAATATTAGATGTGTAGAGGGATACTATTTTCTGATTATGTGAGGGCAAATTTAACCATACAACCAAGAGACACGGAGCTCGTGGCAACCAGTGAGGTTCCTCAGGTTTGATAATTCGATGATTTTTTGGCACCGGTTTCATCACACTCAACACGCTTAGAATCTTCAGGATACGCATTATCAGCTCTGCAAGTGTTCCTGAGAGATAAAACACAATTTGCTGCTCTCTTCAATATAATCTAGATTAGTTGCACTAACAATAGAGACATGTTTTGTATCCACAACGAAATGATTAATTTTCCTGACAATATCTTCGTAGTAGGGTCATGATATACGCATAATCCGCACCACAGCATAAATTAGAATAAAATTAGTTACGTACATTATTAGCTTCCTAACATTACCAACGGAAAGAAGTAGAAATCGCTTGTTCAATACTGGGCACGAAAATCTATCTGTACAAAAATTAAAGTGGGACATCGACCTTGCAACAACAAGTAGAAGGTTTGTTGAAGAACGTACAAACAATACCAACGTTGAAATGAAGTAACGAGGATGCAACGATATGGAGCTCTGCATTTCAGGTAGCACATTCTCAGCTCGTCCCATCGGACTGCTCACAGGCTGGGCGCTATGTCTATACTAACTCAAAAATATCAATACTTAGAATCCATTACCGAGGGATCGCTGTACCGATAATGGCATACAGGAATCATGGCCACAGCGCTTCGCAAACTAAGAGAGTCCAACGCGCTGAATCCAATTCCTTGTTTGAAGGATTGTCATCTATGGCGTTATATGCTCTCCCTGTACGGCAGCTTGACTACAGCTAATTGTTCTTATGGCACTACTGCTGCTGCCGCTGCTGCTGCCGCTGTGCACTGATATGCAAGTACTGCTGAGCGGGAGGAGGAAGAGGGCTGGTGTAGGGGCCGGCGCCTGACAGACTCTTGTATTGTGCTGGAGTTGTGTGGCCTCCGGGCGGAGGAGCGTTGGCAACTAGAGGGGCGTAGAGGCTTCCTGTCATAGAGCTACAATGGCTGGAATTTTGGCCTCCACGCGGCATGGACAAGCAGTTCTGTGGTGGTCCGTAACCCATGGAGGGACCAGCGAAGTTGGCAGGAGGTCGATGATACGAGGCCGCGTAGGGCAGTTGGTCGTATTCAGTCTGGTGGCGGTACAGGCTCTGCTCGGTGTAGGCGCCCACGTATTGATCTTTGCACAAATTGTCATAGCTTTCCTCGTCACGATATTTGTTATCGTAATGCTTGAGTACCCCACCACCATCGTTGCCATGATATTTATCGCCCATATACGCCATAGGTTTATTGTTCCTGGAGCCGTCGCGGCTGTAGGAATACTGCTCGCCCCCGCCCATGACATAGCGCTCATGCACCGGGAATTTGCTGTTATCATCGCCGTAATTATCACTCATGTAATTATCGCCTTCAAACTCAAGTAGTTTACCGCCCTCGAGGCCCACAACTTTACCATCAGCGAGCTCGACCATCTTCCCTTCCTCTAAATCAATAACTTTTTGCCCTTCAAGAAGCACTTGACCACTCTCGATCTCAATGACTTTCCCCTCCTTGATGACGACCATCTTCTCCTCGCTGATGGTGAGACCTGAGCACAGACGATGGTCAGGACCCTCGTCATCCTCGCCGTCGCCCTTGCTGTGGTCGGCACTGGCAGGACTTCGTTCCTCGTCGTCTTCGTTTATCCTGCCGAGGGGCGTGATCCTGCCCAGCGCTACGCTGCCTCGTCTCCTCTCGTCTCTGTCCACTATGCCGCCCGTAGCCATGATACGCGCCATCATCTGCTCCCCAGCCAGCTCCATGCTGGGGCTCATCAGACCCCCTTCCCCACCTCCACCAACACCTGCACGGATAATGTAAGTTAACACCCATACACCTGCACGAACAATGTAAGTTAACACCCATACACCTGCACAACAATGTAAGTTACACCCATACACCTGCACAACAATGTAAGTTAACACCCATACACCTGCACGAACAGTGTAAGTTACACCCATACACCTGCACAACAGTGTAACTTATCACCCATACACCTGCACAACAATGTAATTTATTACCAATCACACTTTTATTACCTTACTTCCATCGCAATAATAAAGATCAACACTCACATCAAACCAGCTTCACAAACACCTGAGCAACAACTTACATTTTTCTGCAATAAAGAAGGCCGTGGAATCATTTAAGAAAGAAACTACATCAGTTTGACCCTAACCACTGTGAGCCGCCGTCTAACTAGCCACCTCCAGTCCTGGGGCCACACTTTCAAAACTAACTAAGTGAACGTAAGTACTTACGCTCTATTTTCTTGTCTACGATTGGTGGATTTTGTCTGAAAAGCCGTCAATGATTGGCTGATGAACTTACGATCTCTTAACTTTTTTTGAAAGTATGGGCCCTGAGGACCAAGTAACCACCCGAAGGAGGCTCCCAGCAAGACCATCACTCGCGCGACACTGGAAGCTTGCGCAGCATCGTCATGCGACATGCGGTGCCCCGACGCTACAAGACTAGCGGTAGCTAAGGTTCTCTCATCATGAAGATCGAATCCCTCTCTATCAACTTACAGACCACCGGATTCGTCAGGACTTAGAAATAATATTTTGAGTAATTCTAGGTATTAAATTTGGAGCTGTATCCACAATACCCAATGCTTGCACATAAATCGTTTCAAAATCAACTAATGAAAATTTGCACTCATTTCAAAATCGACAAGAGAAAATCGACATCAGAAAAATTAACCAATCTGGATAGGAGATTTCTTCAAAAGAAGCCGACAAAAATGAATTCAGAAAAACTTTCATCGAGCGCTCGCTGCTGCTATGAAGAATTGAGCACTACGGGAACTTGGAGCCGAGACATTCCAGAGCTGGAAACTTGTGGCACGAGAGGCAGTACTTCAGACGATTCTTCAACGTCATGCGGACGCAAGACGAATTACATTGAAGCTCTGGTGAGAACAAATAAAGGAGGCAAGCAATCAATGACTGAAGAAAAATACCAAGCCTAACTCGCAAGTAATGAATAAATCAGGAATCAGATCCGGCTGCAGAAAAGCGTCTCCGCTGGAACAGTTTTAGAGACGCAAAAAATTTAGCAGAGGCTACAGTTCCACGATGAAGAAATGCTTGAGCTTAAGAAGAAAATCAAGGAAGTCACAGCTCGATAGGAAGAGGTCTAGTAAGAATTGACCTGCTTTACTAATGATGCCGAGAAAAATGAGAGTGAAAGGAACAAGGAACTAACAAAAATGCGACAGCAACTCGACGTTCTGATTGCCCAAGAACAGGCAATGAAAGATGAACTCTCGGCTGAATTGAAAGCAAATGATCTGTCGGCGATGGAATCTTTCCTGGAATCAGATATCAAGTTGATGAGTGCAGAAATGTTGGAACTAAAGTTCGGTAATCTTCAGAAGTCGTTGTCAATAGATTTCCTGCTAGAACACAAAGCTGTTATGGAGAACGAACTGCGTCAACTAGACGAGTGTGAAGCAATATACGAATGCCAGGAGAACAGCATCATGCGCTGCATGAGAGCTGAAGACGCTGATATCAGCAAGCAGAAAGAAAATATTTGCAAGCAGAGGCAGCGCATGGAACACTTGCGCAAACACGTCGATGATGCGAGCCGATGCCTGAAGCAAGCCAACTACGAGGAGCCTGAACTGCAGCAGCAGCTTGCAGAGAAGACGTGTCGTATGAAGGAGCTTGAGGCGGATGTGGACCAGTTGAAGATCCAGAATAAACAAGTGAAGGATAGGATTGTTTGTGCTAAGAATGAGCTGCAAGAAGCCTAGAAGCTCTACAGTTGGGACGAGCATCAGCTCAAAGATAAGATCGAGATGCGTTGCTGATCCTGCGTGTCAAAGAATTGGGTTATCTGACTTGAATCTATGGAATATTTCATAGAAATTATTCGTCTTTTTGTCAGTAGTTCATCACGCTAGGGGACCTGAAATTATGAACTGCATTTATTTAGTATAGCTTCAACGCTCTCTATTTTGCGAAGCCAGCGTTTGTGTTTGGACACGATTTGTAGTCTTGCTGTTTCTTAGCCCAGCGATTAAAATTACGAATATTTTCTGTAGTTTGAATTCGGCTACGTATTAATATCGTAATAAAATATTTAAAATATCCTGTTTTTGCCAAATCCTACATGTGCTAAATAGGAAATCGAGGAATGAACTGATCAAGCTTGAATTGTGCTGCATCGACGATGTCTTCGTCTTTGTTCGAAATGAAAAAAGGACTGAAAAACTGCGTACGGTACCGACTTCGATCTCAATTTTAACCATGAGTTATGATTGTGTACAAAATATTCGTGTTTTAAATTTTAGCCTCCACATCCAGTAGTACTTCTGAGTTGAAGATTCTATATAGTCCTGGTATAAACGGAAAGCTAATGTGAACAATGCCACTATTTCGGAACTCATTCAACTTTTTAATAGCTAGGTTCTAACATTACGCCGCTCTTTTTATTGAAAAATTTAGGTTTTAATTACCACTTATTAACTTTAGTAATCAAATTAATTATGCTTGTATTATTGACATTTCGACCTGATGATGGAGATTGTCTCCCAAACGCTTGCAATGAGAATATGGTGAATTTTATTCAATTTTAAATTCTAGGTTAATATGACATTAAAGCTATTAAATACTCGTATAAAATTATTACACATCACAGATATTCATCACACTTTCTCCCATACTTCCATGAATATTGCAACCCAACACACCAAGCTTCCTCATTTGACACCAGCGTAATAATTTACCAAAATTCTCGTCGCAATTTTTTCCTCATCGTCTGTAAATTTCAAAGCAAGACTCTAATATTAAACACGAGTTACTATACTTCTCACGGACGGCTGGTATCGCATCATCAAATACAATGGAATGCAGCAGGCAATCAATAGCTGGTGAGTTAGTTAATCACTGACATGTTTTCCACATATTATATTTATTTAAACGTACGAACGGATACACTAATTAACACGCAGCATTAACTAACTCAGCAGTAAGTAAATAAATTCAGGGCACTAAATAATTGAGAAGCAGTGAATCTACTAATATTCATTATAATAATAACAATAATAATAATAATAATAATAATAGCGGTTTCAGCGTTTAGTAGGCCGTCGGACTGTCGCCGATTCTTAACATCGCAGAACATTCACAGTATTTTGCGGTCTCGAACTCGCAACTCACTGCTACAATTCTGCTGTGCTTAACCGCCCGGCCTCCTCGCCGATTCTGACCAGAAACTGGCGCACAGAGCTGGGATCGAACCCGCGCCTCTCAGCGCCAATCTTGGTACTCTGAACTGTAACCACTGGGCCTCCCTGCCCTGCAGAGTGGCCCATTCAGAGACAGTAACGTAAATAAGCTTGACGGGGGATGACGCCGAAGGTGGCGCATCAGCAATTGAGCACAGTCTTAAACTCGTCACAAGAACAAAAGGATTTACCTATATAGTGCAATGTTCATATATATATATCAATATATTACCTATAAAATCAATATATTACCTATAAGATCCGCGTTAGGTACCGTGCATGACGTTGCCTAGACGGTGGATGACGACAAAGGTGGCACATCAGCAATTGATCACAAGGTCTTAAACTCGCCACAAGGACGAAAGGATCTGACCTATATAGTGCAATGTTCATATATATATCAATATATTACCTATAAAATCAATATATTACCTATAAGATCCGCGTTGCTGTGCATGACGTTGCCTAGACGGTGGATGACGACGAAGGTGGCACATCAGCAATTGATCACAAGCTCTTAAACTCGTCACAAGGACAAAAAAATTTACCTATATAGAGCAATGTTCATATATATATATATATCAATATATTACCTATAAAATCAATATATTACCTATAAGATCCGCGTTGCTGTGCATGGCGTTGCGCAGGAGCGCGGCGCGATGGGCGTCCCTGCCTCATGTAGTAAGCAGGTGGTTGAGCTCGTTGTGCAGCGCCAGCAGGTCTTTGAGTCTCTCACTCAGCTGTTGGTTCACACTCTCCACCACGTTACGCTGCGTGTCCTGCGTCGCCAGCGCCACCTCCAGCTGACTCTGCGTGTGTGCTGCCTCTACACGCAGTTGTTCGTTCTCCTCCAGCGCTTGCTGCACAGTAACTCGTGTATAAGAAACTACTCAGCTAGAACAAGCGTCTAACTCAAGACTTAAACCCTCTCAGTATTTATTTTTACACTTTGTAACCTACCACGCCCGAGAATACGAAAGGAATGCCATCCAACAACTTTTTTTTTATTACAGGACATTCAAGCCTACTTCTCTATCTCTGATCCGTATAAGGAGAGAAAGCCTTGAACCTAAACAGCAAAACTCGGGGTCAAGTATGAGGCATTACAAGAAAAAATTTCGTCTCAGCACAACGGGCAATATTATGAAGATAAAAAATATATCAAAATTTCATATCGTTCCAGAATAAGCTAAGTATAATTCACTAGACATTATTAGTCTTCGACATAATAGCATTGACTTCAGTGATGAAATTATGCAGTGGCTCAAGTGCAATAAGGAAGCTATTTAACTGAATTATACTTCACAGTAGTCACGCTGGTTGTAGAAGCGTAACCCACCTGCAGCCTCTCCTTGTGGTCATCAGAAGCTCTGGAGCGTATGAGCTGCGCCCTCAGGTCGTCTACGGTGTTCTCGCGCGCCGACAGCTCCCCCTCCAAGCTCGCGATTTTGGAGCGCAGGAGTTTAATCTCCCCGGCCTCGTCTGACTCGCAAATAACTGCACAATGTGAAAAAATAACAAATTATGCCTTGACAAAATACAAATATACCGAATCGTAGAGCATTTATGTCCATGAACAAGTTCAATGTTCTACCAGCCAATGATTTAGGAGCGGTTGACAATGTCCGTACATCGTGGGACAGGCCTAACACTTTGTTTCAAATTTAAAGTTAAGAGAAAATTGCTTGGAGCAATTTGCTTTGCTGCGGCCGTGTACCGGACCTACTTTATTGTAAAATAACTCAAAATTTCGTCCACAATAACCGGGTTCTCGAAATGAGTCATACAGGAGTAACCCCAAAGACAACGTGCTAAGGGTAAGCGGTGATAACGATCCTTGTTCGGGTAGGTTAATCACTACTGAAATAAGCGCTTAGTGCCCATGCAGGCACTGAATAGCAGCTCTGCACCGAATATCAGCTCTGTAAAAAGGTTCAGAGGACAAGCAGAGAGTGTGGACGTTACTAACCCCGTCCACCGCCGCTCTCCAGCTCGAGTATCCTGTTCTTCATGCGCGTGTTCTCCTCCTTGTACGTCTGGAGCTGCTTCTTCCACTCCTCGACGTTGGCGGTTGACTCCTGCAGGGCGGATGTGAGGCGAGCGTTGGTCGTCTTCAGGGAGTTCAGCTCGATCTCCCACTTCTTGGCGTTCGCCGAACTGCCGTACAATCAATCAGACGAGAATTAAATATGCGTTTGAAAATTACTTTTTAAAGACAACACTTCAAAAGAGGCAATTGCCTCCGATGTTACACATGTACAATGAATTTCTACTTTTATTCTTATATATTAAAAAAATTGTATTTAAAATTTCTCTTTATTAATCAGAAAAAATTAAAAAAATTTTGATTATTTATTCTGTCACTTGATTCGAGCATTGTCTCCAAATTTACGCAAGTGTGCAAAATTTCAGATCGGTTGGACAGGTAGAAGTGTATTAAAAAAATTTACTGAGCGATCCTCTATTGGCAAATTTGAGTTATTGCTGCTCACACACAGAACAGCGATTGAAAAAGGAGGCTAAAAAATCGGTTAAACAAATGTGCAAACGAAAATGCGTCCGAATGGAGGTAGAACAACCTGTCGAAATCCATTTCCATTTCACGTTTGGAAGGCTGAGACAACCAAGAATGAATTCAGCAACACAAAAAATTATACTCACTAGCACCGATCAACCTTTTACTAGTTGATTCAATGATCAATAATTCAACATTTTACTTGTTGATTCCATGATCAATAAAGTTTAGAATATTGTTTACCCTCTCAAATCTTAATAGAGGTAAACAATTGTTTACCCTCTCAATGATCAATAATTCAATATTTTACTCGTTGATTCCATGATCAATAGAGTTTAGAATATTGTTTACCCCCTAAATAGAGGTAAACAATTGTTTACCCTCTCCATGCTTAATAATACCGCCACTATAATGTATAAGCACAAGACTGCACTGCAGTTAACATGCGTTTAATGCAATGTTATGTCTCACCTCTGCGCAAGCGCGAGCTTGAGTCTGTCGTTCTCATAGAGGGTAAACAATTGTTTACCCTCTCCATGCCTAATAATACCACCACTATAAAGTATAAGCACAAGATTGCACTGCAGTTAACATGCATTTAATACAATGTTATGTCTCACCTCTGCGCGAGCGCGAGCTTGAGTCTGTCGTTCTCATACTTGAGCTGAACGTGCGAGTCTACTGTAGGGGCGCCGCCCCCCGAGCCTCCTTGTGATATTTTGTCGCCCGCACCCCCGGTCCCCTTGTGCTTAGGGCTTTCGTTGCCTTGCAGACCTGCACGTCCATAAATATAACTATCATACGCTCCTAATAAAAACATACATAATATCATGATGATTAAATTTAATTAATTTAATAGAGCAAGATGATTTAATTAAAAAAATGGTTAATGGTCGTATAAAAATATTTTTTCCACACTAAAATAGGAGTTATAGATTATAAAAAAATTATCCTGTGAATCTCGATATTCGAATGAATTTGATTGACATACATAAATGTACAATGTTCAAATCAAGAGTATTTTGTGTGGAGATGAAGTTCACATCCAAGGCTAAAAAAAGCATATCATATCGAGACACCCAGAATAAGGGTACCCACACAGTGAAAGCAGGTTGCCAGCGTGCTGGTTACCTGCTCAGGCTGGCGCCTGAAATTGAAATAAATAGGCCTGGCGCTGGCATAATCGTACAGGTTTTCACTGTGAACACTTACATTATTATCCTATGTTCATTCTTGTGGCAGGTTGGAGCAGGTTGCCCGCACGGGCAAACTGTGTGGGTACCCTAAGGTCACTCAAGTGCATAAGGTGTTACGTTGTTTAGGTGGGCATAATATACAGCGGTCTCATGATGGAAGTGAGTGGGTGAGGTACAATATTCCGACACACCAATAACATAATACTCAAGGGCACACCTAACATTCATTCCAGGCGAGGACACATTTAACTCATTTTTAACATTCAATTAGTTCTAACACATCATACAACGAACTTGACTTAACGACATGATGATGGAATAGAATACAATAAATCACAAGGTATCCTCTGGACAAGCAGTTAACTCGACATTTGGCAGTATCGGAAATCACCATAATTAAAAATCGACGCAAACGTTTGGCAAAAATGGTCACTCAAAAATCGACAGAAATTCAAAAGTCGCCGCGACACACGCATTAATGTATGCGTGTTAAATAATTTTGCGCGTTTTAAAGCAATTTTGTTGGTAAGTCAACCCTCTCAGAAGTTGACGCTTCACCTGAAACTGATTAAAGTCAACTTCCGGAGCACCACTGCAATGATAACTTTTCCGTGAAACATACAATTAGAATCCACATTGATTAGACTGAAAATTCCGTATAAATAAATATCATGTCTTTGAATTCGCCAATGTGAATAATTCATCATATTCCATTCTAATGATAGAACTCGTATAGCACGCGATAATCAAAAATATTCGCAACATAGGGTTTAACCCAACGCAAAAATTGCTAAAATCTTCGCTATTCGTTATTTTGTCAAAACTTAGTTCAATTTGTCATATTCTATCGGGACCTGAACTTTATGAGTTCACAACGACAAAACCACAACAGCTTAGAATTGTTAACCAATAGCATACATTGATTGATGGTAAAAAATTTCTTCCATATACAAAAATATTCCGTCAAACAGAAGAGAAATGTTACACAGCTGCTGCACAGTGCCGCTTGCTGATCACTCAACAGAGCTTTCAATAACAAGATCATAGTTTGTGTGTGCCTGATAAATACACGATCAGTCACCTATTTTAAGGAAAAGCCTATACTCGAATGACAACACCTATACAGTTCCATCAAACCTTGACGAAGATACGCGCCCGATAAAATGCTCAGTGAAAGCAGTAATAAACTGGCCACTAAACGCCTGCACAATTCTATATAATGTATGGCACCCGGCTGCTTCTTACGTCAAATGTGAAGAAAATGTGCTAGCTAGCGCTGATTTTCGTACATAGATTATACTCAATGCACAAAAAATCCCCCTTCCCGATATAAATTTTACGCTGAATTTACAAAGTTGTCTCATTATTACCTTTAGGCTGTACATTAACCCTCAGGAAGTAGTTAGATAACACAGCGACTTACGTGACTTCTTCAAGAGGCTTGTAAAAACACAGAGCTGTTGGCCCTAAACTTCTCGGTCACTTCATCTATATGAAGCGGTTGATACCAATTCGTTTTATAATCGAACGAAAAACTATAACGTATCATCGTCGTTCGATTATTTACGAAAATGAACATAGTTTACTATAATGCTCTCGTATATACTATGCTGTAATGCTTTCATCATGAACAAGTTTCAGTTTCCTAGGCGCAAGCATGTATCTTCAGCAGATAATACTAGCTTTATAAAGCAGTTGCATTGTAAGCGAAAAAAGGTACTATCACGAGAAAATACAAGCGTTATAAAGTAGTTCCCGTGTAAGCGAAAAAAGATGGATAACAAATCGTAGATTATCGTGCATATTTGCGGGCATTTTACCTTGATTCATGCCACCCTGCAGCTGCTGCTGCTGCTGCTGCGACTGCTGCCCGACGCCCGCCGGTCCAACTAAAGATGAGCCTGACAGTTGTCGCTGGTGCCTATTGTTGTCATTATTTGCTGCTTGTTGCTGTTGTTGCAGCAGCTGTTGCTGCAGTGACATCTGATCAACACCTGCACACCCGTCGTCAGGGCCAAGAAAGCAGGCAACCATGTTAGGGTACGCACACAGTGAAAGCAGGTTGCCAGCGTGCTGGTTACCTGCTCAGGCTGGTGCCTGAAACCATAGAATACAGAAGCCTATTCGTACAGGTTTTCACTGTGAACACTTACATTATTATCCTATGTTCATTCTTGTGGCAGGTTGAAACCATAGCATACAGAAGCCTATTCGTACAGGTTTTCACTGTGAACACTTACATTATTATCCTATGTTCATTCTTGTGACAGGTTGAAGCAGGTTGCCCGCGCGGGCTAACCTGCTTCCACTGTGTGCGTACCCTTATTCCTCGCGCTTCTTTACAGCGTAACGATCAAGATACAACTCCCCCGGTTAAACTAACCTAATCATGAATAGTTCGATGCTTCACGTATTCAGTATTAAAACTCGTTCGTACACTAGTTCGTACTTTTAACATGTCTGTGCGCTAGCGGTGATTGGTCGGACTTAGATAGATATAATCCCTATCTGCATGTGTCTCATAATTGCTTGACTAATTTACCTAATTTTACGTTTTTAAATTGATAAATACGTTAGTACATGGACACACCAAGCAATGAGGCATTGGCACACCGCGTGCCACAAAAATATATAATAGGATATTCAGCTCTCAGATATTCAAATTAACTTTTATGCGGCCCTCATCCCTGAGTAAAGTAAATGTTGAGTCAACTAAGAGGGTGAGCGCTATACTAGTCTGCCTGAAGCCTCGATCGCCTCGAATAATCAAGTACAAAGGAAGGAACTCATTGGTGTATGGCACTCTTTACATTACAATACATATGTACATAACGATGTAATACATAACGTTTTAGACAACATCACATCAAACACAACTCTACAGTTACCACTTAAAAAGAAATAGATGAAGTTTAATTAAAAACGCCCTCTGGACTATCAGCGGCCATTCAGAGTCCACAACAAGAAAGAATATAATAAAAGATACAATGACAGGCCTTGCAAACAAAACACAACTCTAAAAATAAATTTTCATGCTTCAAAGGCTGGCGAGACGATAGGATGCACATGAGAAATTTATTGAATCTATTATTCACCTTAAAAAAAGTTAAGAGATCGTAAGTTCATCAGCCAATCATTGACGGCCTTTCAAGCAAAATCCACCAATCATAGACAAGAAACTAGAGCGTAAGTACTTACGTTCACTTAGCGAGTTTGGAAAGTAAAGGCACAGGACTAACAATTTAAACGCCACTCCATGCAATCGTATTTGCTTCCCCATCCAACATTAAGCTTATATCGCCAGATTAAACAATTGCGCCGGGGTAAACAATTGGAAAGCAACTCAATCCCAAGCAATCTGAATTGCCTTTTGATAATCCGCTTAAATGGCGGAAAATCACGAAGTTTATAGGATTAGCAAACTAACACAGAAAACGATTAAACTATACTAATATAGATGACGAGATATTATCTTTTGGCTTTATAATGTATAAATATTTAACACTGCCAACGCACGAATAGATAATAATCTGGCAGGCAGCTTAAAAACAGCATCACCATTCCGTCATATAGGTACGTACCTACATCTATGGTAACGCAACCTGTTATTGGTAGAGTATCTGCCAGATATATTCTTGCTTCACTTGCTTCATCATCACCATTCCGTCATATAGATATATCTATGGTAACGCAACCTGTTATTGGTAGAGTATCTGCCAGAAATATTCTTGCTTCACTTGCTTCATTAATTTATGGACAGCATAATGCGACCAGGTTACCAGTACAAAGATCGTCAGCAGATATGTAACACTGGAATTTAGTTACACAAGCCACAGAAAATAAGGCGAAACCATTCAATTGTTACGAAGAAATGAACATCATAATCAGAGTATGAGCCGAAAAGCATTATCGTCACATTAACTAATAAGTAAGATACCTCACTGTTAATGTATTGAGATGACTCAATTACCGCTGCAGTATCACATCAATGCAGCGCACTCACTTGACAAGCTAATATTGTGTATGTGACGACCCATTGAACGGACAAATTCACTTTTCACATAAATATATATTCGAGTGGGCAATTTGGTTTTCACGTAATATTTTTTCCAGCGGGTGGTTAAGACGAGATGGCTGTCGTTAACGCCAGTCTTGGAACAATAATAAACCATGTTAGCTATATTATATATAAGCCATATGATAGTATATAAGCTGTATTAATAAGCCGGGTATATAAGAATGAAGTGACAAGCCTGCACCGCTGGTGCCACGGGACGCCTGGGGCCATGTGTGAGTGCGATGTATGTAGCTCCAGTAGAGGTGGTCAGCCGTTGTGGCTGAGAAATCGTAATTTTCTTTAGAAATCGTTTTTTCGTAGCCGGCTCTTTGTCTTCTCGAATCGTTTGCACTAGAATTAGCTTTATTATGGTTGGCATTGTGGCCAAACTCTTGTAGATTCGCTGTACTTGAAACGTGATTTCGAGGGTGGGATATGTCGAAATTTTTCACGCCAACATCGTGTTTGTGAAGAACATTACACTTGACAGACCTCCATGTTTCTTCATCACGAGACCTGCTCATAGGCTGGTGTTCTTTAAGGCTGTTTTCCAAGGATTTTTCAAAGTTTCGTTCATTAGGAATCATATTAAAACAAGTGAAATTTTCTGACAATGGTGAGTTATTCGTGGATGAAAGTTCAGTGGCACCAACAGATGAGTATAGCCGTGCGATGTCTGGGCCGCTACTGCGCTCGAGTCTCGACTCGTGAGAAATAGTACAGTCGCTCGAAATACTCTTATTTTCTGCAGATGGAATAGCCGAGTCAAAAGAACGCGTCATTAGATTTGTTGTTCTTGGCAGCAACATTCGCTCGTGAGAAATTCTACAGTCGCTCGAAATACTCTTATTTTGTGCAGATGGAATAGCTGAGTCAAAAGAACGTGTCATTAGATTTGTTGTTCTTGGCAGCAACATTCGCTCGTGAGAAATTCTACAGTCGCTCGCAATACTCTTATTTTCTGCAGATGGAATAGCTGAGTCAAAAGAACGCGTCATTAGATTTGTTGTTCTTGGCAGCAACATTCGAGGTCTCGATGCAGTTCCAGTTTCGTCTGAATGTTCGTGAGAATCAAGAAAGCAATTCTGAGCTCGTGACGCATGCAAGGGCTGCTGTGAGGCCTGAACTGCCTGCTGTGTTCGAAGCGCTGTTGTGTGTTCGATGTTCTTAGTACAACAAGGAACACCACCGCAGGATTGTCGGGCAGAACAACAAGGAACACCACCGCAAGATTGTCGGGCAGAACAACAAGGAACACCACCGCAAGATTGTCGAGCAGAACAACAAGGAACACCACCGCAATATTGTCGGGCAGAACAACAAGGAACACCACCGCAAGATTGTCGGGCAGAACAACAAGGAACACCATCGCAGGATTGTCGAGCAGAACAACAAGGAACACCACCGCAAGATTGCCGCGTAGGAATGTTCAGTTTAAGGTGAGAAGGTCGACAACTAAATGTTGCGTTTGCCAGTTGATATTTCTTCAAGTTTTGGATCAGCAAATCCAATTCTGCCGTGAAAGCCCAATAATGAACGCATAAAAAATGTCGAACTATTCCGAACAAAACGCTGCACTAAATTACAAATCAACAATCCAGGAAATCATCACAAAATTAATGAAAATAAAAAATTATTGTAGGCGTGAAGTAATTACAATAGGTAATTACGCGAGGCAATTTATAATTGGAAGGCGTTTTCAAATCGAAATTAATGCACCTTTTGACCCTTTTAATTTTCGGCAAGAAATTTGTTTTTATTTCGTAGCTTCAAAAGCTGTAAGTGAACAACATGCATCGATCATGAAACTACGTCTTTTAGAGATAAGAAATAAATGTAATGTCTACGTCAACATCACCAAGACGAAAATCTACTACCAAAACAGTGTATTGAATTATATTTGATACACGTAATGAAAAATCCCCGTAGGAGAAAGATTATCTATTAAAATAAGTTAAGATTATCAATATCAAAGAAATCCTAACAACACAGGCAGTTGAAGCATTCATACAACAGAAACTATACGCCACGCATGCGTTCATGCGGAGCGTGCACGAGAATAGCAGCGTCAGGGCAACCGTCATGCGCATGCGGGGGATGAAGCGTCAACATTCATTATCAATTTCCGAGATAGTGAACAAAGTATGTTACTTTAGTAGTATATATACTATAAAGTAAGGTTATTTAGTAGTATATATACTATAAAGTAAGGTTACTTTAGTAGGTTATAAACTATGAAGTAGTGCAGGTGTATACCGACAACGCAGCATCAGCATGGCGTCAGCACCCCGTACCTGCACTCATGATGCTGACGTCCAGCATGGCGTCAGCACCCCGTACCTGCACTCATGATGCTGACGTCCAGCATGGCGTCAGCACCCCGTACCTGCACTCATGATGCTGACGTCCAGCATGGCGTCAGGCTGCTGGAGTTTGGAGCGTGCTGTGAGCGGCGATGCTGACGCTGACGCGGGGCCGCCGCCCCCCACCGCCGCCGCCGCCATCCCGACGCCGCCCCCGCCACCTGCACGCCACACCACACTCACTAGCCTATCCCTTCAACTGAACTATGATTAATTGCCAATAAATAAATTTGAAACAAAAATAAATTTAAAAAATTGAATATCAGATCTCAAAATTAAATTAATAAATAAAGAAAAATATTATAAAGAAAGCTAATAAAAATTAAATAAAAATAAATATTTTACTCTTCGCATAAAGTGACACGAAGTTGGGCCAAGTCGTAGTACCATCTATCAACGAGGCATAGAAAGTAAGAACAATGCGTTGTAAATCTTGCCACAAACACTGAGTAAACACATTAAACAGGTTCAGAAGCATAACAATATCACAGTTGAATTATCAGGTTCAAAAACAAAACAATACCTATCACAACTGAATTATCGTATCACATTTCATTAATCAAGAAGAGTAGCACAAGAACAGCACTCACCAGGCAGCGACGTGTTGCCGCCCAGTGTGCCGTTACTCTTGCCCGTCCGCGTCGCTTCTTTCACTTCTTGAAATTTCTCTATAAACTGCAAACAGGAAAACAAATTAGTAAAGTTGCACATGCAAATCTGAGCATTTTTATTTCAAGAAAATACATATTAAGAAGACGATCCACCGTAGTCAAGTTTGCTGATGTGAATCTTTGGTTGCACATTCTTTTTCTCTTATCGAATTTATTTTATGAAGAAACAAGATTGCATAGTATCTAATTGACACGTATATTCAACACGAACAAGTTTACCTTATTTATAACGAAAATTAGACCAATCTTCCCCTCTCAAATTAAACGACCTCAATTAAACAAGATTTGTCTAATAATTTCCGACACACAGCGAAGGACATCCCCGAAGAAAATATAATATCCCCGACAAGGATATTTGTTATCATGGAGGTTTATATGGAGGTTTATATTTTCAGGATTCGTACCGGTATTTAAAAACAAAATTCCATGACTTTTCCAGATTTTCCATGACCGGTAAAAACCCTGATTATGGACATTATATTATAATGTAGGTTCATTTCGTTCACAAGAGAAGCCCAATATCCCGTAAGTATATAGCAGCGGTAACCGAGGCTGCAACTGACTTTGTTGAGCTCTCCTTCCGTGGAGAAGCCGAGTATACTTACGTGTATTAGAATATTAGTTATTATTAGAATATTAGTTAGAAGCTGAGTAATATCACGTAAGTATATAGCAGCGGTAAGCGAGGCAGCAACTGACTTTGTTGAGCTCTCCTTCCGTGGAGAAGCCGAGGCCGTAGACGGTGTTGGCGCGCATGTCCGACCACTGACCGAACTTCTGCGAGGTCTTCGTGAACATCATGTTGGGGGTGATGGTGCTGTTGATGACAGCCTGTACAGGGTGGTTAATAATGAGAACATCACTACACATCATGTTGGGGGTGATGGTGCTGTTGATGACAGCCTGTACATGGTGGATAATAATGAGAACATCACTACACATCATGTTGGGGGTGATGGTGCTGTTGATGACAGCCTGTACATGGTGGTTAATAATGAGAACATCACTACACATCATGTTGGGGGTGATGGTGCTGTTCATTACCGCCTGCATGAGTAGAATAACTTCCCCAACCCTTATAATTGATTGAGACATTTCACCATAAATAATACTTGATAATAATTAATAAATTATTGTTTTATCAAGTGACTCCGGAAATAAGTACAAATAACACACGTCTGTCATTGAATACAGCAATACCTCCATACACCGATACTAATGATGTAAAGTCCGACAATATTCATCATTCAATAAAATAAATTAAAATGAAAGCCCACACACACAAACATCCAAGTTCCTACATGGCATTGCATCAACATTAAATCCTCGGTTCCGCAAGTGATGTGAGAGAAATGATTAAAGAGTTCGAATTACGAATTCTAATTAGCGGTTACGGTAGGTATATTTGGGGAGACTGAGCACATCGAGTTTAGGGTAAAATAGAGAAACGATGCTCGGCTTGGCTTGCGGGTTGTGGGGTATATGCTGCGAAGCCAGCCTTAGTGTACAGTCCCGAACTATAGTGGGCCACCTGTGTGGCCGTGCGGTCTTCAAGCCAGTGTCGTGTCGGGTGTCTTGTGAGTGAGACCAAGTTGGTGGTCAAAGTAGTGTTGACGTGCTAGGCGCGACTAGCAAGAAAAAATAGTTCCGATGAGATTTTAAAAACTACCAACAAGTGTAAAATTGATGACAAGATTCTGAAGACACCAGCGAACCTCTGTACACGATTGAGCGAAGATCGCAGAAAATACGACAGAGGACGATTTTGTAAATCAAGACACTATTCGGATAATCTTTTACCTGACCCGAGTTGACCGGCACATAGAGGATTATGAACTATTCGAAAGTCCCGAACTCTAACACCGTTCCGATTTCAGCCGTTTAACAAATCTCAAATCCCAGCAATATTATGAACATCATAAATGAAAATATCACAATTTCATATCGTTCCCAAATAAGTCGAGTGTAATTAACTAGACATCATTAGTCTTCGACATGGTAGCATTGCTATCTGTAATGAAATTATGCAGTGGCTCAAGTATTTAGTTCTCAGCAAAAATGTTCGGATCATCACAAAGTATTCTTTATTCAAAAGAACTCTGCTCATAATTTATTGAGGAGTAGAGCGAAATGAACGATGAAAATCTTCTTCAAGGAAACAGAATGAGAATCTTCGCGAGAAATTTATTTCCACAGAACTCAGAACTCCAGCCCCGGAAAATATGCCTCGATCGTAGTTCCGGGTTGTCGAATGAAACTCGCCTCTCTTGCTCCGAGCAAAGAGAGACCGCCCCTCTCTTCCTCCTGAATAACCTCCCTGCTGTGCAAAACTCTTTCTAAAGCGAGCGATTTGTCTTTTCGGTACTAACAGCGAACAGGATTTTCAGGCGAGACAGCGAACAGGGATCTTCAGGCGAGACAGCGAACAGGGATCTCGAGGCAAAATAGCGAACAGGATTTTCAGGCGAGACAGCGAACAGAGATCTCGAGGCGAAACAGCGAGCAGGGATCTTCAGACGAAATAGCGAACAGGGATCTTCAGACGAAATAGCGAACAGGGATCTTCAGACGAAATAGCGAACAGGGATCTTCAGACGAAACAGCGAACAGGGATCTTCAGACGAAACAGCGAACAGGGATCTCGAGGCAAAACGCAAAGTGAACTGAAGTTGTGGTGCAAGGAATCATAGCAAGATTGCTTCACTATGCCATGCGAGCAGAATACCAACAGTTTCTGCCATATCGCGCAGCTTGAAACTCCAGCACATACATCGCTGAACAATCACCTTTTTTGAAGACGAATTCACCACAATGTAATCTTTGCACAAACACTGTCCCACGACGAAATAGTTACACACAAATTATGTCAGCACGCCGTAATCTTTGCCTATAAGTTGTCACCACCCCTTTTTTTTTTGCACGCGAATTGCGACAAGGCGACGTATTTTTGCACACACATTGTCCCACGCCGTAATCTTTGCATTAAAATAATGCCACTGCCCGTGACCATAACTCAGACTGCGATCACACACAACCCACATCATCGTACCTTACCCGCACTTTTAATGCAAACCGCGCTTAAATTTTTCATATAGACCCATCAAGCATAGGCCTGTATTGCATAATAAACCGTACTTCAAAGCATTCTTAACGCTGCTAATTTATTTTATTTCTTATTTGTTAACTATAGATTAGAGACTGCACTCTTAATTGTTTATTGTACTACATGAACATGTAAATGGTACATGTGAAATGTGTTGTGTGAAAATGTGTACAGTGTACATTATTCACGTGAAAGGGTCGAGTACGAACCTTGGTGCCTTCCACGGAGATGATCCTGTAAAGCTGTCTGGTGGAGTCGTAAAAGAAGGAGACGGACACGGCCGAGGACGAGGCGGGTATCCACGAACGCTTTGTCTTGGGGTCGATGTGGAAAACGTGCGCCTTGCAGGAGAAGATGGGCTGCTCCCTGCAAATGATCACAAAATTAAATAAAAAAAACGAACATTTCTTTAAACTAATCATAGTAACAAACATTTCAGTTACATGGTTCTTTCTTTATACTTATGTTACACAATAAATTACAATTTGCAGACATAAAAATGAATTCAAAATCAAGTTCTCTCAACTGTCTCTGCAGAAGCATATCGAGATTTGCATCTTCGCACTAATCATACAAATGAAGAATTAGTTCTCGCTTTGAGATTTACAAGAAGAGCTTCGGTGACAATGAGCAAGTCTGTTGTTAATTAGCGCAAGCCCCTCCCTTCCCCTCCCCCACGCGTTGTGATCACGTTGCAGGAAGTGCAGGAGAAGTTTCAATAAATTAAGTATTTCATTAAGTATTCGATGAAGTCTCGAGTTAACTCATTGTGTGCTGTTTGACTGGGCCTGAGGACCAAACGGGCGGTCGACTTGAGCGTTATTTAAACTCAATCAAAGATCGAAGCACATTTTCAGCTTCACATTTCATGTCCATTGCAGAATATCACACGTACAGAAAGAATTTAAAAGCAAAGAAAACGCCAAGAAAATTCACCATATCGATATTGAAAACGTTTCGGAGTCCAGCTCCATCATCAGTTCGACTAAACTAAGTTTAGTCGAACTGATGATGGAGCTGGACTCCGAAACGTTTTCAATATCGATATGGTGAATTTTCTTGGCGTTTTCTTTGCTTTTAAATTCCTTGTGAACTTGCGATTTAAGCAGACTAATGATATAAGTACTTACGTACAGAGAGATAATAAAAATTATTAAAGTTTTTTTTTTGTACCAAGAATTCTTTGAGGGTGGAGCGCCATTTGCTGTTGCACGGACTCGGTTGAAAAAAGCTGCCAACGGATGTTAGTGTTTTCCTGTCCTAGAACCCCATCGCGCATTATCAACTATGTTATCCCTTCACTCGCATTGAGCGTCAATTGCACAATCCTAATTCAATTGACAATACTTTCAAGGAGCATAGTTCCTCGAATTTCTAATATTTTCGATAGTTTTACACCAAAAACTGAAATTTCTATCAGGTTCCCAACCTGCTTCCAGCCTACGCCTCTCTGGCGATAGCGCTACTCTCGGTTAAACTAGTATAAGGTTGACCCATCAGAAGCCCATTTTTGCGGATGTAGTTCGTTGTTCGCCTGTGACGCGACTGATCTCAATGACGTCACGGGCATTAACCAATCACCTAAATGCGATGAAACCAGTCAACCAATCCGTCATGGGAATGACGGGTTTGTTTACGTTTCTCGATCTACGTGACGTAACAAGTAAGCTGAACTGAAAAACGGAACTTCTCGTGGGTCAACCTTTTCAACCATGGTGCTATTAATATCTGTGTTGGAGTGGGGCGCCGCCAGAGCATCAGCAGTTTGAGAAGCGATTTGGAGCAAGTTTACCCGAGTGAGAGCGACGCATCGCTCCACAAGCTGAGGCGACCTAAGGTCGTGACTGCGCATACTAAACGTCTCCCATCTCACCAATACGAAGTTCACTCTAAAGATCAGCACACTAACAACCAGATACATGGCCAATAATGGAGCCTACATTGCTCGGTCAGAACTGCACAAATTAGCATTAAAGATAGAGCGAAGTCTCAAAAATTGATGCTCTAAGTCTAATTTAACCTTCTACAGATACTACTTCAACAGAATCGGCACGAACATCGTAGCTTCTTGCGCAAACACTATGCAAGAATAACATTAAAACATATATTATACTCCATCTTTGTAAATCAAACTTGATGAATTTTGCGATACAGTTCAGAAGGAAATTTTTGTTGTCCCTTTATGATTATTTTTATTTGTATTATTACTACTATTTGTCGTTTGTTCTGAGTTAATACTAAAATTTCAGCTGCCACATCCGGTGCTCCGTTTATTGTCAAACTTAAAACCTTGCTCAGAAAGCGCCGTTATAGTTTTAGTGTTATAGAATTGTAAATATAAAGATTTCCGGTAACTTCAGTTGATGATTTAAATTCATGGTGCAATATCTACTCTGCAAGTTGTATACACACGAGTTCTCTAATTTTTAGCTGGTCTCCCTAAATTTCCCTCAGAGAATATATAGGGGAATTTTCTATGCATTTTCTGTGCTGTGAAATTCCAAGTGAATTCACGAAACACCTAACACGTCCGAACTGGAGCTTTTCAAGAGGACTCCTCAATCAACGTTTACAAGGGCAGAAAATATTTTGACATCTGTCGCACACCGAGGCCACTTCGCTGCGAGGGTTAAAAGGTATGCTCGTCCATTAGCTGCGACGCTTCATGCAAGAGCTTCTCCGTTAAAACAATTGTAAACAAAGAACGATCAAACTCGTCTATGAAGGTTTATTCTTGATAATTCAGAGGCATTCATTCAATTTCATGCTCGCTGCTATCAGCTAGAGAGAGCAAGAATGCTTAACTTTTCTAGCGATTTCAAAGTTCCCCTAACTTACGAGCGATTGCAGCACAATTCTTCCCGCTCTCGTATCCCACTAACGCTCTCTCTCTCGCCAAAATAGTTTGTTTCACCTTTCAACAAACATCTCCCGTTTTGCATTAAAAGTATTTTCTCTCAAGTGCCTGAACTTCTAGGACAACATTCAGAATTGTTCCCGTGCAAATATTTGACAAGTCTATAAGAAATTATCAACCCACCCAGGGATTGATCTTGAATTCATCCTTTCTTAACAATGAAATTTTTAAGATAACATATCACTTGCTGTCTTCCCTTAAAGCATAAACTAGGCAGTCGGAATGCATTACAGCGTTCTAAATGCGATAAGAAATAAATTAGCTAGCACAACTGTCAGCTTTGAAGCGCGTGTAGAGAATTCATGGCAACTTATGCATACAACTCGTCAGGTGACTAAATCTGATAATTCAATTTTTGGGGAAAAGGATCAAATTACCATCATTCGGGTGCGTAGGTTTCAAAGTTGCTATTATTACTGAGTAGGAGCGATGCATAGTTCTTACCTATAATAGACGGACGACAATGAATGAAAATCATTACGATATTACAATCTGAACCCCTATTACCGTGGACTAATTTTCTTGAACTTGCATCACATAAGAATTAATCAGTGAGGGCAGCAGTGACGTTTTTATTAGAGGAGACGTAAATGGGAAGGACAAATAAAAACGTCACAAAGAGACGCAGAGACGCTGTAATGGCCACACACGGCCGTTGAGCGCCTGCTAATGAGGCATCAGAGACACCCTCGGCCACTCACCCTCTGGAGGATCAGGAGCAAAGCCATAAACAAAACAAAAAAAAAAGCTTTAGCGTATCAGCAAAACTCACGGAATATAATTGAATAAATGACGAGCACAAGAGTGCATTTTTTTCCATAAATGAGAAAATGCGCTAAAAATCCATCCAAAGATGTAGACATCGTATACAGGAGGGGCACCAGCCTGGCCAGACACTGCAGCGTTCAGAGCTACAACAAAGGAACATAAGGCATCGAACCATTTGTTATAGAGAAAAAATCCACAAATCACAGCCATGGGACGTAAAGTTGTCACATGGTCACAAAATATCTTCGGATTATATGTTAAAAATCCAGAACCAAGATTACCAGGATTATTTGTTAAGAATCCAGATCAAGTGGGATAGTCGTACAATTATAATCACTAATTAATACTTAGAGAGCAAAAAAGGCCTCGTAACCACCGAAATTTCATACCTAACTGTTTGACTGCCTTTTTTTCCAGAAGCATCCTGATGGTATTTTTGGACTACCATGAATGGAAATAGCATGTATTTTATATGCGCATCCTGATGGTATTTTTGTACTACAATGAATGGAAATATCATGTTATTTATATGCGTGGTTAACAGGGCGAGTCGGTAGGCAATAAACAACGCGCAGCACGCAGTTTAGGGCGCTCAGTTTGCATGAGGGTAAAAGGGGTCCGAGAAAGAAACGCAGCGCTCGAGAAATGCTGCATTTCAAGACATGTTTACTTTACTTTAAAGTGAATCGACGATCGTACAATTACTCTTCCACGTGTGGGTTGGCGAGACATAATTCACAACCCACAGGCAGATATTTATCCGGATTCCATCAAACGTTATTATCAATGCAACAAATAGAGATTACTAAATTATATGCTACATAATAGGAAAACATGGCAATAACCGTCAAAAATTTACAGCTCAGCTGATGCCATCCGTGAAAAGAAAGAGGGAGCTTAACATACTTACATATATTTTAGAAAATATAATTCTGGTCGCTATATATATTTATAGAAAATATAAACATTATATATTATAACATTATATTATTATAGAAAATATAAACATGGTCGCTTTGATCCGCCAAGTGATGCAGCTTCGACGTACCGTCCAAACCTACCTGAAAAAACTCGTATTGATAATTTTTGTTACACTTTCTTTCGAATTCCCTGTAAATCTACTGATATTTGTGCGGTACGATGCAGTAAAGAGCTGCAATTTGAAACGGTAATGAGAAGCAGCAATAATGGTACGTTTAAATTGCATTTATACAAACAGCGGAGCGAATACATCAATGTAAAACACGGCGCATTAATGACAAATATCAACGCCTGTCGCCGGGAACAATTATGAGTGAAACTCAAATTTATTGGTAATTCAATCCAAGTGAAGCTAAAGAAACAGATACAATCAGAACATAACAGATATCCAGAGATAAATGACGCATACAAATGTAGCGAAAACTTGGCGAACTTGAGTAAATAACGAATAACACATGGGGCATTGAGGCATCACATGATTGAATAAGATTAAACATTTTACAAGAAAAAAATATTATGATAACAATCGTATATAACAAAATTATTGATTACAAGAAAACAATATTATAAAACAATAGAATAAAACAAAATTATTGAGCATGGAACGACAAGAAGGTTAACCGGCAACAACATATAAGTGACCGCGCTGTGAAGTCGAGCCGCTGGCGTCAGCTGTGGCGAGCGCGGCAGACCTGCAGTG